TTTTGCTTTGAAATTAAACCATCTTGCATACTGATAAGATCTACTGAGTATATGGTTTTTATTTTCATACTCCTTTAGAGTGAATTAATAGGTTATGGAAGATCAGGAATATTTCCTTTGTGTACAACTTGAAAATCAGGCACAATATAAAACTTCAGTATGCTCTTTTTATGGATAGTTTTTACAGATAGTCAGAAAGAAAATAATAATAACTAAACTAAATGGTTGAAAGCAAAAACCTTGATTTTTATCTTCCCTAACTATGTGGAGTTACATTTTTTCTTGAGGTCTTAAACGCCTCTAATATTAAAAATTTATTAGTGCTGCTCATAATATGTGAAAGAGTAAAAAACCAAACACTGCATTTGAGTATCTAAGCTGATATTAATCTGTCAGGTTTTATTGTTATTTTGAAACTGTCCAGCTGAGTAATCCAGTTCCATGTGCTCTTCAATGCTGAAGGCAGTGTTAATGAATGAGTGCTCACAGCCTTTTTCTGTTTTTTGGACAGGTTTATGCTGGGGTATCAACCCTGGAGACACCTTTGTTTGGGTTCTTTCTTTGTGCCACGTAGAATGTCATCTCTCCCACAGCTTTAATGTAGCTTTAAAGGAAGGTGTTAGTAATCTACATAGATAATTGTGATATTCAGCTTTCTCTGTCTTTTGCACGTGGATTTTATTTCTGTCTGGGACAGATGAACTTTTTTTTTTTTTAAGCTGATCCAGGGAAAGGGTGGGGTAATACTTTGGGTTGAAGTTAGCAAGTTAGTGTCTGAAAAAAACTTGCATACTGGCTTCAGGGAATGAAGCTGTTGATTTTGAAGGTCTGCAATTCAGAAGTTGATTTTTAAAAGAAAAAAAAAATTCATCCTATATGATTGAGGCTTTTATTTTTTTTTTTTTTTTTTTTTTTCTTCCCACTCCTCTCCCCCCCATTACTTCAGAATGCCTGTTGTTATTTGTGCTATTGTTTGTGCCTGGACTTGCAAGCTGCTATACTTTTGAATGTAGCTGCCCATCTGCTTCTTGGTTATTTATAGGCAGATTTATGGAGTTCCTTCTAATCTCTCAAGTCTTCAAAAACATTAATGAATTAAACATCACAATACTCTTGTAAAAAGGGAATTAATATGTAACATCTCCATTTTACAGATGAAGGAACTGAATGAAGACTAAAAGGGATAAATGACTTGCTGAAAGCCATATGTATATTTCATAGGAGAACAAGGAATAGAAACCAGATTTTTTGTCCCCTGACATTTAGTCCTGTGTTTAACAGACCAGCTCTACTTTCTTGCTCGATGCATGATGAGGGAGTGAAGAAAGTACTAATTCTTTTAAACCTAAATAGATGTTCATGAACAGGCTAATCCATTTAAAGACCTTGCACCATGTGCTGAGAATATTAATTGTTTCAGATGTAACAAATTTGGGTAAACATGTTGATATTAATTTTTATTGAGCCTGAATTAGTTTTATTTGTTAATGTTTTTGACCAGTGCTTTGCACTGAGTTGCTTAGAAAGAAAACACCTGTTAATTGCAGAGCAGCTTCTCTCTAACATCTTCAGGGCATCTTACTTAGTCATCTCGTTATTGCGAGTCTGTCAACTTCTCGCTCTGTCCTCTCTCTTTAATAGACTTTTAAAATGGTTTTAAACAGTGTCAGGACATTGTTTCTTCCTTTTTTTTTATTGGATTAGACTGAAGATGTGTAGCAGAAAATGCAAGTGATATTATTCATTCATCAGAAATTATACACTTTAATGCAGAATTACACATAGTTTATATTGTGTGTGGGTTTTGTGGGTTTGTTTGTTTTGTTTTGTTTTGATTTGGGTTTTTTCTAAAGGATTTCTAGAATTTTAAACTGTTGGGTGAAATGATGTAATAAACTCTTTCCAGAGCCTTAGATATGATGGGGGATGCAGCATACCAAGTAATGATTTGATTTTACATTGGAGTGCAGCCTGAAAAATTGTTTGCATTTTTATCTGTTCTGTAAATTTTTTTCTATTTGTTTACTCTCTCCCTAACCTCACATCCTCCCCCTAATGCATACCTATTTCATTTAAGTTTGTATTTAAGAGAATTTTCTCCACAAGTAGTATTAGTTCCTGCCTGGTGGCAGGGTTGGAAGATTTTTGTATTTCACTGGAACACTTTTCAGATATTTAGGTTTTAAATACAGATATTATGTGGGTTTAGTCTTGCCACTTTTCTGTGGAAATATTCAAAAGAATGAATGCACTGTTTGAGATTAGCATTGATGTATTGATTTAAAATCCTGAAAGCCCAGGTAATTCTAAAGAAGTTCAGTGAGGTTCTTCAATGTAGTTCTTTTATTTAGCATGTTTCCTGTATATACAAGTTTTACAATTTGGTATATGGTATTTTAATTTGCAAAGTAGAGTGCAGGTGGTCATGCGGCACACTAGATTGTTTCTGAAATTCAGCAAACAGATTTAATCTTTAACTTGTTTCATATCTGTAAAATTTGAGCATATAAAAGTTATGTCTTTTGTTTTGGAAATGATAAAATGCAGCTTCTTAAAGTATTTTACTTTCCTTGATGAAATCTGTTCTCTTCAGTGCTCTTATTTTTCTTCTGTAGCTTTTTTCTATTTAATGAGTCCAGATGCCTTTTTTATTGATTAATAGACACTGGATCTGTTTCTTTCAGCTAAACAGTGGTATGACATTGAGCAACACATCATTCTTTCCTCATTCTAATTTGAGAGCTTGGTGGCCAGTTTAAGAACCTGTAATTTTGTTTTCTTCCAAACAAGATTTTACACTTTATTTGTAGGTCTAAATATACTTATCTGCTTTTTAGCAGTATACCTTTTTAAAACACCTTTGACAACTCCCAGTGGAAAGCAGACAGCAGTTCTCTTGAAATTGTTTCACTTTACAACAGTAAAAAAAGACATTTTAGTTAATTCATCCCGAGTTTCTCTGGAGTGTTAGAGAAGGATGTTAAACCTTATTTTTAAACTTGAAGATTTTTTTTCTAGTATGTTCTGATAGCCTGCTCTGGTGAGAGTTTTCTTCTAGATGGAGCACATCAAAGCTTTCACAGAAGAGAGGTAATTGAAAACTTCAGGAGTTTCTGGAACAAAGGCTAGGTGTTTGAAATTATTGGCAATTGTTCTGACTCACCTCCCGCCACTCTGAATGAACAGAATGCTTCCTTTGGTTCCAGGAAATACTGAACAAAAGAACTATTTTGATTCATGGACAGTGCCACTACTGTGGCAGAAAGCCAGGCAGTGGCTTTCTTATTAAATAAATTGGTCTTTTCACCACAGCAAAGAAACATGCTCCCTAGAGTCAAAAAGTTGATGCAAACTTTTGTTCACATGTGAAAGTATGAAGATAATGAAGTGTGGGTTTGGGCTTTCTTCACTGATTATAATGAAGACCCATTTGTAATAATTTTGAAATATAACTTGGGGAGGAGAGGAAAAAATAATTAGCAGCTACATTTTCCACATCTTAAGAAAAAATAATACAGCCAAAGCTAAATAGCTTACACAGGGTGGTTTGAACATGATGTTTGAGGGACAAAAATGACTGCCTGAGTCATTCTGAGTTTGTGTTTTATGCAACAAATAACCTACAAATTTTTATCTGAAGTGTAGAGAAAGCTTTAGTAGGATGCTTATTTGAGTGATTGCTTTAAGTGCAAGCTGTCTTGGGACTGTTTCCTGAAAGAACTGAAATTTGTTTGTTTCTGTAATATGGGGAATGTGTATTTTATATCATTGACAAAACCCACTTAACTATGGAGATTTTGGGATAAGGGGTGGGAGTGAACATTGTGAAGCATTACATATTGGAACAGGGAGGGACAATAAAAAGTTTTTGAAATGTTATTTCTGTTTCATAATAAAAATAACAATTCTGCTTTTTTTGTTTGTAATGAAGCTTGTTGTTTTAACAAGAAAAGGAATAACTGTTCTGTTTTACTTCAGGCTTTCTATTTGGAGTTCTTTGGGTTTTTTCTTTTCTCCTACATAATTTATAGTTTTGATTCAGTTAACTTCCCCATCCTCAAGAAAGAAAAGTTCTATTTGTATGCACAAATCCTGACGTATCCAGACAGAAAACTCCAGGTTGCAGTCTGAAACCCTGTGCCTGGAATTAAAGAAAAAAAAAAAAATTACCTATTTTTTATTTTGACTGTGTACTAGTACATATTTTGAATTATGTATTTCTGTGCAGAATTAGAGGGTTTTTTATTATATGGATTGATCTGTGCAAGTATGAACTCAAAATCTTACATCAGATGCCAGTTGCTACTTTGTGTAGACTGGAAGAGGAGGTTGCAGTTCAAGCATCTTGTTGGTTGTCAATGAAACACAGAAGCTTAATTGCAATGAACTGCAGTTCATAATGCAGTAAAAATGGGATGAGGGTGAGAAGGCATTTGGAGACAAAAGGAGCAGAAGCATTTCCAGCTGTAGGTTAGACGTGCTTATTCTGGCTGTTGGATGATTTTTTTCAATTGAAGACTTACTAATGGCAGTGTCCTGACATAAATGCAGCATAATGTACTTAATTATTATATTCCTGGTTATATGAGACAGACTATGCAAAAGTGTATTTTTATTTACACTTAATTTACATCTGAATGACAAAACAAACATGATCTACTTGTAAATTAATTGTTTAATGGGGTTGGGAAATAGGACTTTTATATAAATTCTCTTTGTGTCCTTGGTTGAGATCTGCTTTGATTTTTTTTTGTTGTTTTACTTCCTGTTTTTTGTTTGTTTTTATGGTGAGGAGGAAGAAATCTTTAATTAAAGATTTACATGGAAAAATGCATATGATTATGTGTTTTTTCTTCAGTTCTTACAGTACTTTGGGTTTTGATTACAGTGTTCTGTTTGTCCTTCGGAAGAGGACAAAAGTGTTTGGGCCAGTGAATTTGCAATTGTGGACATTGTAATTGATTTCCCATGCTTGACAACTTTAACTTCTTGTGTTTCAGAGCTGTGAAAATTATCTGAAGTAGAATGGAAGCTTCAGTAATATTACCCATTCTGAAGAAAAAATTGGCTTTTCTTTCAGGTACAGTTTGTTTTCCTCAATTGGTTCTTCCTTGCATAATTTGAATGTGATTTTTAAGTTGGTTACTTGTATTTGCTGGATGTATTTAATAGAAATATAATATTGGTTAGTGCTTTGTCATATTCAGAAGGATCTCTGAAACTTTTAATCTAGTAGCCAAGCTGTTGCTGTTGGCATTTAGCGCTTGTTTTCACTTTAGCCTGTAACTCAACCCATAATTGATGTCCTGAGGTTTCCATCCATATATAGAAGAATGGTGATTTAGTAGATATCCAAGAATAATCCTCTGTTTTATTGATGTGGTTTTAGAAATAAAGATTGAATATTTTCAGAATTTTCTTTAGAAAACTTTTCCTTCCTTTTCACCCCTGTCTTTTCTCCAACATAGAAATGGATGGAAGCAGGATTAGCATCAAGAATTCACAAGAATCATGACAACATTTTGATTATTGCTGAGTAGTAATTCACGCAAGGGTGGAATTGCTGTTGTATTTATTAAAACTTCTTGATTCTTGTGTTGAAGGTAGCTTTCTCTCTTTCCCATGACAGAGAAAAACAAAGGGGAATACTTAAAATGATGAATGACATTCTCTTGCTGATTTCACTGCTGTTTTAGTTATCTGTGTTAGTTCTTCATGTTTGGCTACTTTAGGGTAGGTAGATTAACTTGCAGAACACTTCTCAACTTCACAAATTGACAAGTGTTGCCATAAATAAATATTCTTCTGGTTTATTTCATTTTAGCTAGTCTAGTTTAGCCTGCTCCAGTGACTTGAGAAATGAAACCTGTTCCTTTTGTTAATAGAATTTTTGTGTTGAATTTGCTCACTGTCCCCAGCAATTGCAAATCAAACAATTCCTGTTTAAAAACAAACCAACCCCCAAATCTCAATTTACGTTAAAGCCTGGGACAGTGGTCAGTTTCTTCTGTAGTAATAGCAGATGCATAGTTGGTTGTTCAGCATTATAGGGCAAGGAGAAGTTGTCATTAACTAGAGTGCATTTTCAATTTGCTATTAAAGCTGCCCGATCCATGTAGAAATATAGATGTTCTTAGTGGGAAGTAATTTATTGAGTGGCAGTTTAACTTCTAGGAACCTTCATGAACTTACATGTTTCTAAGTAGGTTTGACCTTTTTGGAATTGCGTAGTATTAATGGATGCTTTAATTGAACGAACGGTAAAGATTTATGCAGTAGTTCTTTTAAGTGTTCTTCAGTGTAAATAAAGGTACCTGACAAAGAAATCGCTTCATCATGTCTCTATAAAGCAATTATATTCCATATCGTTTCATAAATAAAAACATCTTAATGATTACAAACAAATCTTTAGAAAAATAATAATTTAGGAAAACATTCCCAGTGTTTATATGTTGAAGTCTATTGTAATTTTTGAGTTAAATTGATTCAAATAGTGTTGTCCTTGTCTTCTCTTTCTGGAAGCAAAACAGAGTGGTTTCTAATGGAACAATGTCTCCTTGGGTTTGGAATCTGTGGCTCTGTAGCTTCCATGTTGGGTAGGTCATTATAAAGAGCAGGGGGGAAAAAAGGCAGGCTACTGTCTCAGCAAAAAAAACCCCAAAACTGAACAACCCCTTTGGTGCAAAATGAATTAAAAATGTCTTATTTTTTTGATGCTCTTAAGATCCTTTCCTTAACTTAAATGTGTTTCAGTTTATAAATGATACCACTTTTTCTGAATTACAACATCCATCAAGTTAATTTCCACTGATTTTATTTTTCAAGTTTGATTCTAAGACTAAAGAGTTAGATAGTATGAGTGTAGTGCTTCCTTGTAAGACAAGGAGATGATATTTGCCATGCCCAAAATCAGTGTCATTATGTTTATCTCACTAAACGTTGTATTCTGAGGGTGATGGTAAATATTTATACAGTCTTTAATTGTTAGAAAGGAGTTACAAATAATAAAACCAAGATGAAAGAATAACTTGTTTTACTGTTTAATTAAGTATTTCTTATTTAGTGTGTTAGCACTGGAAAATGTTAGACTAACATCTATGATAGCCATCACTTCTTAACTGGTAAATTTAGGTAATATTCCTTTAAAGCCCCTTTAATTTTTTTCAGTATTTTCTTTAAAAATACATTTTTTAGTTAAAATGATTCTTATATGGATAAAGATATACCAGTTATCTTTTGCATAAATGACAAACCATCATTTTTCACAGAGGAAAATAATCAGTGATAACTCCTACCTTGTTCTCTTTTTTGGTATGGCAGTTTGACAGAATATTTACCTTATCTGTATAAACTTCAGTGTAAGAAAGCTGCCCAAAAAATTACAGTGCAGGCAGAATACAGATGTTCAAACTTTTTTCTGGTAGTGTTTACAAGCTGGGGGGAAAACATGTGAATTGTTACACAAGATGACTTGTCATGAAACTGAATAATTCAGATAATTATTGCGATCTTTTTGTGGGATGTCAAGAGATCATAGTTTTTGGGTTTAGTTTGTATTGTTTTTTTGGGTTGGGTTTTTTTTTTTTTCAGTCAGTTCAGCAAATGCTGTTTAAACCCAAGTATAAAAGCAAGAATTTCTATGTATCTAGTATCTTGCACGAGTGGGCTTCAAGTGTCAATTCTAAATTTTCATTAGTTAGACCTTCTTCAACACCAGAGTATTTAAAGTCTGTGTAAACAAAACATGAACTACTATTAATACTTAACTACTTTTGTGGGGGATGATGTTTCCCTGTCTCATGAATCCAGAGTAACTTTGAACAGAACAGATCCCTTCCAGTTATGAATCATCTATGGTAAGACTGACTTGTTATAAAATTGTCCTGAGCTGCTGCCATGGTTCATGGAGTTTTGGACCCTGGAAGTTGGTTCAAGGTGACCCTTCTACTGTTCCCTGTAGAAATACCTTCATAACGTCTTGTGTTCTTACTTTTCCTATCACAGGCTCGCTCAGCTTAATCACCAAATTCTGTCCAGTCTGTGTGTTTAATTTTTGATACTTGTGACAGTGTGTTCTTGCTTCTCTGTTCCACTAATTTTTCATAGTTCCTCTACTTAACAATGTGCAACCCATTTGTTGCAAATTTTAGTTTCAATGAATTTATTTTCTATATTGCTAAAGACTGCTACCGTCCCTTCTTTCAGGATTTCCTTATGGATAAGGAAAGACCAAATGATGCCTGGACACTGAAGGAAAAGATTATTTATTAATTTTAATGTTTAATTCTTGTTGAGAGATGGTAGCTAACAAGCTACCATTGAATCAGTATGGCTTCTGAAGTATTATTTTACATCCACAAACTTACTATTTTCCTCTTTATTGGATTTAATGTGGGCTCACTAAGCAGTGTAGCAAGTGGAGAGAAATTTGTTTTTTTTCACTCCAAGCGTACAGATGAGAACAAATGTCCAGTTTTTAAAATATTGAGTTATTTTTCCTTTCTTTTTCTCCCACTTCCCCACTCCAATTTTCAGGCTTTATGCCATTCAGAAACAAGAAGGATGGACAATCTTTAAATAACTGTTGCTTTAAGCTGTGACTCCCTCTTAGTTCCTGTGGAAAGGATCTATCCATTTGTCATTTCTCATAAAGCACCACTATATTTCTAAATAGAATTAAATAGTTATTAAAACATATATTGCTGTTTTCCAGCAACAGTTTTCCCTTGAAAAAGGGGATCACAACTATTGCAATGGATCACTTAAAGCAGTATGTCCTTTAGGACGATGTGGAAAACACGTGTGTATTGGTTGATCTTTAATACTGTTTTGTGAGTTTGCACAGCTTTGGAAACAAGGAAAGAGCCTATTGCAATTAAGATGCCAACATATGTTGTGTAAACAAACAGTGTTTTTTTCATTATCTTGCCTGCATCTCTAATGGATGGGCAAATTCTTACCAAATTATGTCAATGTATGTGTATGCATCTGCAAGTGTTACTGTGCTGTGCTCGTGCACTTTCTTATTTCTGCACAGTTGTTACTGTTGTGTAAAAAATTGTTTTTACTGATTAGATAGAACTTCAGTTCTGCCAACATTAAGTAACTGCATCACAGCTACCGTTGCCCCTTTTGCTTAATCCTTTGATGAGTTAACAGCCATGCAGGTGCAATGTTTGTGTCTCAAGACCTTCTGCCTTCAAAAGATCACCAGTGATGCCCTTGTACTTGGAGATGTGATAACAGAAGAATGGGCTGCACACCTGATTTCCTTCACTCTACAGTGGTTGCTGACTGACCCTTTCAGAGAACTGTGACATTATTTATTCTACATGTGATCTTGTATTCACTGGATTTGGCTTCAGTTCCAGCTTAAGCTATGAGTAAGAACCTAGTCCAAATCCATTTTGATTACTGGTTCATACCAGTAATTACTGTGTAACTCAAAAGTCAATCTTTTAGAAGAAAGACCAGAATAAAAAATTTCAGCTTTCTTTAAAGATGCCTTTTTTGTTGTTTTGTGTTTTGGTTTGGTTTTTTTTTAAAAAAAAAAAAAAAAAAACCAAAAAAAAACCCAAAAAAACCAAAACCCACAAAACCCTATGGTTTTCCAGAGACTTTCTTGAGAGTCCATGTAGTCAAAACCAACTCAAATATCTACTTAAGTGCAGCACATCAACATCACCTAAAACTTGATCTTACTGCATCTCATAATGGACATAAAAATATGAGGCCAGCTCTTTCAGTATTTTTGTTGCTGATATTGTTGTATAACTTTTACCAGAAGGGTTTGAAAATGCGTATGAAGATTAAAGGAAATAGTTGGAAATATTTATCTTAATTGTGAGGGTAGTGTTACGTGTTTGTAAATAGGTCTGGAAACCTTATGTGTTTGATGAATGAACTGCCAATTTAGAGTATGTGCCGTGGGCAGCCCATGTTGTACAAGATCCTCCTTTGTGTAGTCAATGTTTCTAGCAGTTGTTGTGTTCCAGTGGGAGCTGCTGGGTACATGCTCACCTTGGAAGTTTACTAGGTTTCTGACAGGCTGGTAGTGTAGAAGGTCTAGGAGATACTTTTAAAAAATGTAGTCTAGATATGCAAAAAAATATTGCTTCTGGAAAACTTGTTTATGTTGAAAGTACTAGATGAAAGAACACAACAGCTACAGATGTGTTGTATCCTTTGAAGCCTTGGTGGTGCCTCAAATATCATTGTGGTGGATGAATTGTAACAACTGAGAGGTGAAATGTCAGTTGTGATGTTCACAGCAACTTTAAAGATTACTTTCATGATGTGTTTTGAGACTATGTAACTACAAAATATTTATTTTACCTTAAAGCCATCACAATACCTTTCTAATGACTTTTCTTCCCTGAAATAGGAGGGAAGGACAGAAGAAGTGGCCTAATTCTGACAATTCCATTATGCCTTGAACAGACGAGTATGGATGAGCTGAGTGTCACACTAGACTACCTTCTAAGTATCCCAAGGTGATTTCAAAGGCATTGTGTTCAGGCCTGCCTTCTTTTCCAGTGGTGGAAGGGATCTTTTTATTAGTTTTCATTTTTATTTGCCTTTCAATACCAAATAAATTTTACATAAATGTGTATTTAAAATGTGATACTGTCTAAGTGAATTAGAAAAATACATCCCAATACACTAAGGGATATCTACTAAGGCTTGCATATGTCCTTTTAATCTGTATATCTGGCTTTGGGTTTTCTTGCCTTCTGTATTTCCTGACTCCTTTCTTGGGATATCATTGTTAATTTATTTTTAATGACAGTGCACTTAAATTGCTATGTAAATTAATGAGCCATTCTAATGAAACTCCTAAGCTTGCAAAGGTAGCCTTGCCCAAAGTAAAAAAGCTTCATCCTCTTTCTTTGTTTGCTATGGGTCTAATCTTTGTCACTTGTGCTTGAGTTTGCACTGAGTCTAAAAATATATGAAGTCTTACTGAAGTTAGTGAGCAACTCAAATGTTTAAAGTTAAGATACTGCTTAAATGTGCTGAATGACTACTTGAGTATCTGTCATCCACACCTTGCTGTAAAGTCATTGTTGATTAAGTTCTGCACATGTAACCATGCAAGCTCATAGTGGCAATGCTTGGTCCTAGCTTAGTTAACTGCATTTTTTTTCTTAAGATCCAGGGATCAATGTTTTTCATAGCTTTGTTTTGTTCTCTTTTCCTGTTGATTTAAATGCTCAGATAAATGCTTGCTTTTGTATCCCTTTAAGTTCCTCTTTTGGAAACAGAGAAACAATGGCATAACTAAAGACTGTTTTGTGTACTTTGCTTATTGTAATTAAGCAAAGTATAAATGTTTTTTAAAACACAATTTTTATTTTATTTTTTTTTTTTTTAGTTAAAAGTGTTTAAAAAAATTCTGGTTGGGGAGGGGGAAGCAAAGAATAAATTCAGGTTGCTTACAAGTAAAACATCAATAGGTACATGGGTATGTTACACAACATTTTAATCATGGAAGTTTTAGGGTTTTTCAAACAGCTTATTGTCTTTTGTAAAGTGATAAAAATCCCAAATGGTCATCCACACAAGTCATCTTATTGACTTAAGGACTTGGCAGTATTTTTGGAACAGATGCAGGCATTGTTGTTCTAGCGAGCATTAATTATTCCAGTCTCATCCTGATGTATGTTTTTACATATAATAGTGTAAAAATAACCGTCTGAAAATTCAACCAAAGTACTCTTTGTACTTTGTACAAACTGGGAAATCTGTTTGAAAGCAAAGTTCAGTGGTCCCACATCTAATGTTCTGTTTGTCAGTTGTGGAAAAAATGACCTCTCTTTTTTGGAGACAATATGGAAAAATCATTGTCATTTTTTGTTTGCATGGGGTTTTTTTCAGTGGGAAATGCAAACTTTTTGGCCTAAGAACTTGCCTTTTTTGTTCTGGAAAGACTTGCTGAACAGTGTTTGAAAAAAGGAGAGACTCGGGGGATATGTTGTCCCAAACCCAGATAGCTGTCCAAGAAACATTAATGTTACTTTTTCTCTCCAAATTCTATGTGTAAAGTAACCTAATATGTTTAACTTTTAATTCAATTCCACATGCTATATGTTGTAACTATAACTGTTTTGAAATATATATTATAGTGTTGATGGATAGCTGTGTCTGAAATTTGTGAGGCAGAACTGTTTATAGTGTCTTGGGTAAAATTTCTTTGGAGTGCATAATGCTTTCCTCAAAATTCAGAGAACTTATGCCTAGTGTTTAAGTCTACTGTTATGCCTTTGATGCTATTTGATGATTTGAAGGCAACTTCAGAATCCACGAAAATTAAAAATGGCAATGATATGCTATTGCCTGTGCATGCTGAAGTCTGTGTTTCCCTTGTATTGTCTGTATGTGGCTTATATCACCAATTTTATTTTTATTTTTTATTTTTAACTTTCATACAAAGGTTTATGTTTGAGTGTTGGCTGAACTTTTCAAAAGTGATAGCTTACTTTTGAATTTGATTGTTTATTTGAGTGTGGGGTTTTTTCCTGTTTGTTTTTTTGGGGGGGGGGGGGGTTTGTTTGTTTATTGGGTTTTTTAATAGCTCTAGTACTAGAGAAGAACAGGTGCTGATACTACTAGGTTTCAGTGAGCTTAATGAAGCCATGTTTCAAGATGCTATAGTGACACTATTCATCTTGTTCTTAAAAGTAGTGATAGTGTGCCTTTCAAGTTCATTCTGATTAAACATTGAACATGCAAAGCCTTGAATTTTCAGACTGCTTCCAGAAAAACCATATGCATGATCTTAGAGGTTGTTTAAAACTAAAAGTATGTGTGGATTGGCAGTCAACTTCATAATTACTTTTTCCTAAATAGACTAGTAAAGTGGCTTTTTCCCTTTTTTCAAATTCCAAGATGATTTACCTTTCACACATACCTGCTGAAGCTCAGCTTAAACATTAAATAATTAACAGTTACATTTCTTAGTGCGAAATATAATTTGTACTGTTACACGCAAGTTGCTTTGTTTTTTGTAAGCTGAGGAGATCACAGAAATGGCTTTGTTTTGTAATTGCAGATTTGGGCACTGAAGATTGTGTAATGCTTTTCTACATCACATAAATGTAATGTTATTTAGTTACTTTACTGTGCACAAAAATTTCAATCTGAAAGATGATATCTAATGTGGTAACTAATGCTAAAGTTATGGGATCACTTCCATGTCCTCTTCTGGCTGCTGCTATGCTGGTTGTGAGAAGGTAATGCTTCTCAGCTGTTGTTGACATCCAGAGGTTGCTGCCACTATTGAAAACTGCCCAGCTGTTCCTGTCAGCATCTTGTTGCCAGCTTCAGTTAGAAATGAGCTGGAGAGGTCTTTGTGGGAATGCAGAGAGTGATGAAAGTTTTGACTATTTTCTCTCATTTGGTACTTGAGCAGAAGTACCTTTGAATTTTTGGCTTTGCAGCGAACGGTTTGCAGCAGTTTTTTTGTAGTATACACAGACTCAAACCTTATTAGAAGAAAAAGAGATGTCCGTTTAAGATCCTCTTTCTTGTAAATCCATATGCAAAGCCTCTGTCCTTGTAGAGGCTTTTTATGCCCTGCAATTTCTAGTCCATTTGTTCAGGAAATAAATTTAAGCATGTTAAGATAGTTTCCTGCTTGCATCAAGTGATATGTAGCTGTATCCTCAAATCTGTGCCAATTCACAAGTAACCTTGTGAAAACTGATATTCTTTTGTCTTCCTTACGAAACTGTAAATTGACCTCTTTTTTCTGAGGATTTTGTTAAGTTTATGGTTATGAAAGCTTTTCAGAGTTGCTGAAGTTTAAATAAATGCTTGTATTATGAAATACACTTCAGTGCTACTAAGAAAATCTAATTTGGAATATCTGTTAATAATCTTAGGCATTAGAATTTGAAGTTATTTCTAACTGAGTAAATTTAAGGTTTTTAAGGCAGTATTTTTTTTTCAAGTAAAAAAAAAAAAAGCCTAACTGTGTAGTTGTTTTTCAGTAGAGTTGAAATCCATAGTCATTGTGATATAACACTTGTTCATGAATTTTATTTTTCCCTACGTTTTTTTCTTCTTTTAGTGAGAAATGTAAAGCTCGAGGATTTACTGTGATAGTGGATGGCAGAAAATCTCAATGGAACGTGGTAAAGACTGTTGTGTTAATGCTACAGGTAAATGAACTTTTCTACGTTCTTAGTTAACTGATTAATTTTATATTTGCCAACCCAATAGCTGTGTTATTGCAGAGGCAGTAATTTCATTATTGAGAAATAGACAATTTATGGCTTTTTTAAAAATCACAAAAAGTGGTTCTGCGCAGGAAGAAACAATCTGAATGCACTTCATTCAAGTGAGGGACAATTGCATTACATGCTGAGAACACACAATTGTGGACATTTTTCTGAAACAGAGTTTTAGTTAAAAAAAATACAGAACCATGCTCTTGGCATTGACAGCTATGAGTAGTAGGAATGTCTGCAGGTGAACAGTTCAGACTGATAGCTCAGCGGAGCAGGTTCTGATACAATATGCTGTACTACTTGGTTTCCACTGGAATTGACTATAGTAGATTTTGTTGTGTATAATAGTCCCAAGCACAAATTATATTCTGGATGCCATATGAAGTAGGAGAAGAAAAAAAAGTGCCAATTCCCAATTAAAGAAATCTGTAACAATTTATTATTTTAACTTTTCAGAACTGTGGGGTTACAATAAAGTTTTATTTCTGCTAAACTGTAGGTTATTTTCTGGTCTTAATGGTCAAAGAAAATGCAAGCTACAGCACTCTGAATAGATTAGAGAACTTGGACTACTGCCTTTCTTACTGCACAGATGACTTCTCTTTGTGAGAGCAGTTTTCCTCTCAGATTTAGATGAAGCCTCAGAAAGTGTGTCAAATATGAATAATTTGATTTGTTGTCCTGCTGACTCATTGTTGCTCCTGGTATTTTTAGTCTGTTTCAAGGTGTCTTTCATCTATTCTTGACTAAGATGACATTTCTATTAATAGATACAGTAATTGGATCCATTATGTTCTGATTATTATATTAACTGAGCTTTCACTTCAGCTGACATGCAGTTGTGACACTTAAGATTTCACTCTGCTTGGACACATGTAGTTCTCAAGGGTGCTGTCTGGTCATCAGAGGGACACTTCAGTGTTAAAAATATTGTCTACTTTTAAATAGTTTGTATATTCATTAAAATGATGCAAGAATGGAATATTTTTTTTTCAGTGCTATGCTTTCAGTAGGATGTATATAGCTTTTTTAGAATTATGTTTTTATAAATAAAATGGGGTATTTGAAGAGAAATCTCGTGCACTGTGTCATCTTTGTGTCAGTACTGTGATTATCTAACTGTTGCTTGTTGCTATAGCTGATGACTTGGGAGTAATCAAGAGTCTTGCATTTAGTGTGACAACAAAATCAAATTTGGATGGATTAAATTACTGTTTTAGGCTGAGGAATGTTTTTGTGATAATATTTTTATGAATTAATATGCTGAAATGTTAATATTAACCCTTTTCATTCTAGTCTTAAGCAGTATGTGCTAGAGAAGTATAGGATATAATCTTTATGTGATTTAATAACAAAATATAAATTATTTTCTAACTTTGATTACTTATTTTCTAACTTTGATTATCATTCTGCATAGCAGATGACACTGGTAAAAGCTTTGTTGTCCTTAACATTTTTTTTTAAAATGAAATTACATATATAAAATTTAAGTCTAGCCAATATTTCATATTTTTCCATACTGATGTAGCATGGAGTAATAGTTAGACCTCAGAACTAAGATTAAAGAGGTTAATTTTCTTTTCAGTTCTGACACAATTTTGCTATGAAGTTTGGTTCAATCTACTACAGAGCAGGGTGGACCCACCATGTGATGTAGATGCAGTGGACTTTATTATAGACAGTTTAATTTCTGTCTATAAGTTTTAAGTTCTTGAACAGATGGTGATGTGTAAGTGGGATTCAGTTCTGTGGTACATGAAGGCTTATTATTGAATGCTTTACTTATTTTTTTCATTTGTTTTACAGAATGTTGTTCCAGCTGAGGTGTCACTTGTTTGTGTAGTAAAGCCAGATGAATTTTGGGATAAGAAGGTTACGCATTTCTGTTTTTGGAAAGAGAAAGATAGACTTGGCTTTGAGGTATGTAGAACTTTTGTCTACTTCAGTCAAAAATACCATTTCTAGAATACTACAGAAATTGGATGAAGATTAATGTCTCTTTAAAAATAGTTGTACTCCATATGCTTTATGGATAGCCTTAACAAACCACTGTGGCCTTTTAGTTTTCCCCCTTTAATAAAAATATTAGGTGAAGTAGGTCTCAAATTAGAAATGTGTGTCATTTAATTCTTTGCTCAGGAAGAGGATAAAGCTGTTTGATACATATTGTGGATGTTTTGAGTAAGAAACTTATACAGGATTTAATGTGAATTTATTTCATGACTCTTTTGTAACAGACTATAGAGATGCATGTTGTACGGTGTCACTAAATCAGTAGTAAACCATTTTTAAGAACAGCTTTTTGCCGTTGCATAAACGTTCTCTCATTTTTTGAGGTCTTTGACATTAGCAAGAAAGGTTATATGTCACTTCAGTTTGCTAGTGATAGTGCTCCCATTCTTTTATCTTTTTGGGAGGTTAATGGAAACATCAATTTACCCTATATTTAGAAAATTATCTCTATCATCAATCTTTCCAATAATTTTTGAAGCTAATCTTGTTTGAATTGCAAGCAGCTTGTTGTGCTAACCAAATACTAAAATGTCTACTTATTTTGTACAACAAAGCTCTTGGAGAGCATCTTTTTTTGTGAAAGAGATTGAACTGGGAAGTGTTCTGCGGCTTTGTCTAATGCTGTGTAATTCTTTCTGATGGTAAGATTATAACGTTCTTGAATACTCCTGTAGAAAACTTAGTTCAGGGAAAATGGGAATTGGAAGTGGCAGCTGAAAGGTTATGTAACTGCTAAATAATGTAAATTTAAAGGCTCTTTCATTCAGATAGAATGCTGTTAATTCATACAAAGTTTGTTCTGTTAAGTCTTGTATCAGCCTTTATCTCGAATAGGTGGCTTCATTTTTTGTAAGCAATTCCTGCATGTGAAAGTGCTCTGAAAGAGT